GCCAAATCATTAGTGCTTTCCAAGATATGGTATGCCGCATACCTCCTTACACCAAATAGAAAACAGTGTGCAGAAATCAACAATCTAATAGTAAAGTGGATCAAAGGAAACTCTAGGATGCTCCCTCGGTATGCCATCTTTCAGAAAAACTACGAAGAAGGCGGACTGGGTGCCCCAGTCATACAAAACTTACTAAAAGCCAGGCTGATAATGATATGGAAACAACTCTGCACAAGTAATACGACTTGGGCCAAACACGAAAGGGAGAAAATTACAACTAGAATTCGGACCCAGAGAAACATCAGTGTACTACAAGCACTCAAAACCTCTCCAATAAGTACAAAAGCCTGGCCAAGTGATTGGAGGGCCCATGTTCGCACCTGGCAAAAGTTAGGTGGGTCTATTTCCGCCGTTGGTAACTGGCCGTGGGATCTGGACAATTTAAAAGTAGATGAAATAGGAGGTAAAGACCTCACCGTGAAATGGCTGGTCCATAAACTCAATGCAAATACCACAAATAACCCCAAAATAGGGGATCATACCCAGAAGAAAACTTTGAATGGCTGCGTGAAAGGGAGTGCCTTAATAAAAAGTTAGATATATGCTGGCGATTACACTATGGTGCCCTCCCACTAGGCTACAGAATTCGACATATCGATCGAAATGACGACGGCTTCTGCTACCGGTGTCCAGAAAGTAGTCAGACAAAAGAACATTTCACGATAAGCTGCACAGTAAGCAAGGATATATGGGAAATGGCCTATAGAAGAATCACGGCAACAAAGGACACAACTCCACCTCAGACAATAGAAGAGGCACTAGCGGCCACAAACATTAGAGTTAAAAAAAGAAGAGAAGCAGCCAGATGGTGGCATGTTCAAATAATATACATAATATGGTGTCTATATACCAAATCCAGATGGGGTGGAGAGATTTTATCGAGTACAAGAATAAGAAGTTATGCAGATAACAGGTTAACAAAGGAATTAGAACAGCTAAAGTTTAATATTAGACAGAAATCCCAGAAAGTTAAAAATGTATATAAGTGGTTATTTGATTAATATTATATAAAATGAATAAATAATAAAGAGCGCCAACAGCGCCTCGGCTATTGTAGACCAAGAAAATTAAAAAAAAAAAAAAAAAAAACTAAACAATACAAGTTTTATTGATTATGGTTGTCGCAAATATTCTCACTTAATAACCGACATCAATGGTGGTGAATAAAGTTTCACACGAAGTAAGTGGGCAGCCATCACCAAACATTGAATCAACCAAGGAGAATCAATCTTTGAAAGGTTATGATAAAAAATTCCATGGTGCAAAAAAAGATATTCATATTTGGTAAGAAACTCCATTGTGCTCACATAATCATGTTTTCCTGTTGCCCAATTATACTAAAGGTATGCATAATCTCGCAAAAAGTATTTCAGAGAAAGCTTTTCAAATGCTTCTTTATACTCCTTACGAAGATGCTGGCTGAGATAATCCACACGTAATAATATATTCAAATAGCATTGAGCGCAGATACGATATTGAAGTTTATAGCCAGGAAGAACCTCAAAGTAATCATATATGGGATCTCTATTTATAAGAAATTGATATGTGGTGGTAATTACATGAATAAAAGTCTATTCGGTCAAAATTATAACTGAATAGATCAATGATAGAAGTTAATTAATTATTTTCTATCCTCATCTTCTTTGCAATACATTTAATTGTACCTTACAATAAAAAATAAAATTACTTGCTATTTAAGTGATTCGTTATCCGATACACTATCACTATCTATCTTTTTTTTCTTTTCATTATTTTCCTCCAAAACGATTTCTTTTTTTCTCTTGGTAGATATGGCCCTGGCACGGGAACGAAACTTGAGATTAATAGCCTCAACAATCTCTTTGCGCTTCTCAAAAAGTGATGGTGTAAGGTCGGTTAACTTGGCAAACTCGGCAACATCATAAGGTTGCCACTCACTATTATTCATAGGCTCGACACACTTAGGAATTTGATCACCAATAAAGGAAAAATAAATAGCGCAGTTGTAAAGGCACTCCTTCTCATCAGGAAACTTACGAAAGCCCGAAACCTTAGTAATATAAAAAAGTTTATCAATAATGACCCGCCTCCTCTTCAGCTTCACGTTTTGCGCAATCGATAAATGATTCACCAAATTCCACACGCCCCCAGTCACTTGCCACAAAAGATGATAATCTTTAAGAGGATTGATGCGTTGAGATAACCAAATATTCTTCGAATCAGAAACCAATATGGTAAGACTGAAATTATGCTCACTGGCCTTATAGACATCAAGCTCCTGACAAGCTTGATCCCTCATATTTTTAGTTACATTTAATAAGGCAATAATCTCTAGAGTAGATTGATCCACGGAAATTCTATCATTTTTCATAGAATTAAGAATGTTGAGATACGTAGTGTACTTCTTGATTAAATTTGTATTATTTTCGTGAGCTTTTTGAACTTGAAGATAGTAATTCATAATGATGAAGAATGAATCAAATAATTTCTAACCGGTTTTATCAAACTGATTAGAAAATTATGTCGATTACTTGATGATAATTAATCAGAATCATCCATTACGATCTCGTTATCGCTGTATGTTAAAATTCGATCGGTAAATCTTACACTATTAGAATTGAGAGATCCATCCTGATGATGAATATATGAATTTGAATCAAAATCTTGAATATTGAACAATGGATTCTGGCATGGTGAACAATACTTGGTCTTCCTGAATGAACAACAGTTTTTACAGTAATAAGGTTTTGGCTCGACAAATTCACTGTCGGATACATGAGCCAATGAATCAGCAGAAAGAGTTTCTGATCGAAGTGTCTCATTATCAGATTCATGATCATTGGTAGAAAGAGTTTTTTTTTTTTTTTTTTTTTTTTTTAAAAAAAAAAAAAACCGCATTTAAGCGTACTTTATTTTATTTACAACTTAT